ACACACACCGACACACACCGACACACACTGACACACACGACACACACGACACACACGACACACACGACACACACGACACACACGACACAAACGACACAAACGACACAAACGACACAAACGACACAAACGACACACACACACACACGACACAAACGACACAAACGACACACACACACACACGACACCCACAACACTCACAAGACACACACACACACAACACACACGACACGCACACACACACACACGACACACACGACACACACGACACCCACCACACCCACGCCACCCACACCACCCACACCACCCACACCACCCACACCACCCACACCACCCACACGACCCACACCACCCACACCACCCACAGCACCCACACCACCCACATCAACCAGCCACGCCTGCACGCCCGCCCGAACGCCCGCCCACACGCCCATGCCTGCACGCACACGCGCACGCGCGCGTACACGCTTCAAGGGGGGGGGGCCTGGGCTGGGCGTTTTGGCAGGTGGTGCATCGTGTCAGCCAGCATGACTCCCTCGGAGCAGCGGACTTTCCTTCACATGCGCCGCACTGAGGAGCTGGCCAAGGCTCGGCCCTCAGTGGCGATCGATTTTCGGCGGTGGAAAAGATGGAATCCGCCAGACACTGGATGGAACCTTAGGAGATAAATGGAGAAGGGGTTTCAAGATTGGGCTCTTACCAGAGTACAGAGTTACGCGCCTCATAGGTGGAGGAGATCGAGGCTTCTTTGGCGAAGCGGATGCCGCAGCTCTGGTGGATGCCCGGAAAGTTCGGATTCATCATCAGCTCCAGGCGCTTTGCGCATCCGAGAGGTCGTTTCCGTTTTGTTCTCTCTCTCCGCTCAGGAGGCAGCCGCTTTTTTTTGAAGGTGGCGTTTGCGGGTGTAAATGGATGTTTCGTTTCATGGGGAAAGTTATTGTTTGGATATCATCCAGTGACAGGTTTCTCCCAGAGTAATGGCAGAACCAGGTGTGTAGCAAGCACGCTTTCTAGCCAGACCGTGGGGATTCATTTGCGAAAGGAGGCAGGATAGCCACTCAGGGCCGATGTTGACGATTTAGATTACAGGATGAAAGCACTGCGTGTTCACGCTGGGGAAGCAAGGAATGACTCCCAAACAGCTTTCTCAAGAAACAAAAACCATTTTTTGGGTCCGCCCCTTCCACCCTGCCATAGGTGGCTCCGTAGTTGGCGCAGCTTTGTGGGTGTGGGCCGGCCCTCTGCTGAGACGAGGGACCGGCCCCCCGCGCCCATCATCAACGGGGGCCTGTTCGAGATCGACGGGACGCTGAGGCAGTCCTCCAGTGCTTGACTTCTATTGGCTTGAATCTTTAGACTTTAACCTTTTGGGAAATCAAGGGGTTTGCACTAAACTCCCAAACAGGTAAACTTTTTGCAGGGGGGTCAACAGCAACCGGGAGTGGGTAATGTTGACCCCGGATCAAGAAGCCGTCCTACTATTTGGGAAGTGTTCCCTCACTGCAAGGAATTGGATACCCCTTTGATCCAAATGAACCAGCGGTGTGAACCTTGCGTTCTTCTCGGAGAGAAGCACGTGACGCAGGGATTGCTTTTAGAACGCATTTCTAAAGACGTCTTTTCTCACGGCCGACACGCGAAGAGGGGGGACCGGTGCGGGATTGAAGGTGTCGGCCCCCAAAGGGCACGGACACCCCAGAGGAGGCGCATCACGAGGGTAGTTTTTGGACGCATGGATTGACAAAGAGGGGGCGTTTTCTTTTCTCCAGCTAAACGTTAAACAACATCTGCAGCTGCTGACAAAAACAAAGGGCCCTTTGATCGCTTTGACGTTGTGGATAAAATGCGCCGCCTTTAACTCAACAATGGGATCCCCAAACGATTTTGTTGAACGTGGTCGTGTTCAGAAAGCACGTACCCATTCTAGCAGGTCGGACTTGAGGGAAAGTAGCATGCCGCTGCGAGCGACTCGCTTTTGCTCGCCAAATCTGGCACGCCCTGTTTGAGGCCACCCATGTCTGAGGTTCCCTAACCCTAACCTCCCTCATTTGCGAGGATATCGTGATGGTGCGGTCTTTCTAGATTCTAGATTGTCTTTTTCTTCTTTTGTCCCTTTTTTTCTTGTTTGTGTTTTTGTGGCTTGCTTCAGCACGTTTAAACCACCATGGTTGAAGCAGCCTCCTTTTGGCTCACGGGAGCTTTCTTTCCATGGGCCTCGAAGGAGCAACTTGCAGGAGGGCCTCCAGCACGACTACCAGATCTTGGAGCAGCCGATGTGGGAGTTCTTCCTGCAAGTCTACGGGGGCGGGCCCGCCATTTTGCGCAGCTTGGCCTCAGGAAGCTTCGGGCCAAGCTTTTTGGACCGGAGGCCTTAGCTGCGAAGGTTTCCCTGAACTCGTGAGGGGCTAATATGGGTGTGTGCTGTACCCCTTCTTCGTGGTTGTAGGGGAAAACCAAGAGGAAAACCCACAATTTGTCGGGGTCCCCTAAAAGGACACACCCAGATTTTTTCCTCACTCATGCCTCAACTGGTAAACTCTTTTTCCCCAGATAGCTGAAAGCTATAGCTTCCAATAAAGATGACTTGCGAGATTCAACGTGCAGTTTGGGCTGTTGGTGCAGGTGCTGTTTGGAGTGCTGTTTGAGGTGCTGGTGAGTGTGCGGGCTCGCAGTTTTGCGAGGTTGACGGCCAGGTGCTTTGGGGGTGCTATCTGGGGTCTATGCTGGTGTAGTTTTCTTTTTCCCCCCTTCCTTTGGACAAGTGAGGCTACAACTGCCAGGGTGCCGTGCCGTCCCTCGCGGATCCGTCGGCGTCCTTCGAGGGAAAGTGGCGTGACGGCCGGCCCGACACGGGCCACGGCCGCGTCTTCGATCCCCAGAGCGGCCGGGGCTTCGACGGGGAAATCCAAGACGGCTTTCTCTGGAGCTGCACTGGCACCCCAGTTCTTCCGAAAACCACAACTTTTCCTGAAACAAAACAGCACGGTTTTTGGACCTAGAGGCCTCTTTGCGAGCTTTTGCTTGTTTCACTTTGCTCGTTCCTGTCCCTATGGCGTTGTTGCTCTTTTTTTGTCCCCACGGGCGTTTTTTTGCCTTTGATCCTATGGGCGTTTTTCCAAGCCCTTTGATGGCTGAGGCAAGGGCCTGCTGAAGAACGGGAGCCACTTCGAGGGCCAGGTGGTGGACGGGCTGCCGGAGGGCCCAGGCCGGGAGGTGAGCTGCGAGGGCGCGGTGCTGGAGGGCGCCTTCCGGCGGGGGAAGCTGCATGGCATCTCTGGGCTGGATCTTTAGACGTTAACTTTTTTGGATGCCATGCCAAAACGATATTCAGAAATTTCCTTTTGGCTATTCCATATTTCATATTACTTGGATTCCCCTCATAGTTCCTTTTGACCGGCATTTTTTATTTTAAATTAAGCCTTTTTGCTGGGGGATTTGCACCCAAGGCATGGGCCGCGTGGTGGACGCCCATGGCATGGCGCAGGAGGGCGCGCCCCGGCCCAAGCCATGGCGCCCATGGAGCGCCCGCACGCGCGAGACATTTAGGGGGGTGAGGGGTGGGGAAAGGGCTGGGATAGGCTGAAGGCTCAGCAACCTATTTGGAAACAAACCTCCCGGAAGCCCTGCACTATTTGCTTGCTTGGTATGCTCGTTTGAATTCGGTGGCTCAGTTGTTTTTTGTGGGTCAGGTTGTCCTTCGGGGTGCGTCTTACTGCGTTCTTTTTGGGTTGCCAGGTGTCATCCTCGTCTTTTTGGGCTCGACTTCTCAAAAAGTGCTTCCTCATGTCGCTGGCTTCCATTGTGAATATCCTTTCGTTTGGCCGGGGTTTTCTCACTTCCCATCTTGGGTGAAGTCAACGTGCTCCCTCACATTTGGGCAATGCTTTTTTTCTTCTTCTCCCTCCCTTGGGGATCAACATCGACATGTGCCATCAAATTCAACATGCCCTCTCTTTCGCTCTCTCCCTCTCTCTTTCTCTCTCTCTCTCTCGCTCTCTCTCTCTCTCTCTCTGTCTCCCTGTCTCTCTCTCTCTCTCTGTCTTGGCAAAGGGTTGTCCTTATGCAGGCCTCGAGTTGGCCTCCCCCTGCAAAAAACACGGTTCCTTCGCACTTCTCTCTGCTGGCCTGTCCTAAGTCGGCATGCTTCCTCTCGTTTGGGCAGATGCTTCGCATGGATGTCCATCGGTCGGACCTGCCTCCCATCCTGGGCTCAGGAATGGGAGGAGGGCGAGCTGCAGGGCATCTAGTCGTTCCGCTCTTCGCTCGCTCCCCAAGCGGTCCCGAAGGAGAGAGTTGGAGAGGTTCAGGAAGGCTCGAGAGGAACGGGCCTGTCGCAAAGGGAATCCTCAAAGCCAAAAGGAACAAGCCACCGCCCGGAAACCAAAGCTGAAAGCATGTCCAAATTTAGACAGGCCCGAAAGCAGAATGTGTCTGGGCTGAAAGCTGCCCAAGCCTCGATGGCAAAATGCGCTCGGGTGATTTTGCGACTGCTTCAGGTCCTTGAACGAGGCAGGTTTGTGTAGCAGGATGCCACTGCAGCCGCCATGGCTCAATCTAGATCCAACATGGTCTGTGTATCCAGGATTTGCATCAAAGTCCCAAGCCGAGCAATGTTTGTTTGTTTTGGTGCTTTTCGGCTCTGCAAACAAACCCAGTGCGGGCAAGCTGAGGAACCATGAACCTTCATGTGGCCTTTGTTTTCGTGTCCATCTTCCTAGGCGCGGGAGGGTTTGTCCATTCCCAGGATTGCACCTTTGATCATTTGGGTCGAAACAAAACGTGCTTTCCATGGGTGTCCCATGTACCAATCTTGGATATAGAGAGGGCATCGCCAGGCCTGAGCCAGCATGTGCAGGAGGCCGCCGAGCTTTTAGGCCTAGACGCAGTTGGTGAGCATCTCGCGTGAGGTCGAAGTGAGCGCAGTGGGAGCTGTACAACCACACTCCCCAGTCCCTGCACTTGCACTTTGGATGGCCTTCCATTTTTTTTGAATGGAGGGAATGTGGGGGAAGTCCACCAAGCCGACCTTGGGTCAATGATTGTGGAGCGCAGCTCAGGCCCACATAATGAGAGCAGAGGCGCAGACATAGACTAAGCCATAGAGCTTCCACACTGCTTGCTCATGCTTTGCAGCCTGAGCTTTCCTGGCCTTGCCAGGGCTTTGCCGGCATTCGGGCGCACCAGCCAGAATTGTTGCAGGCCACTTGCGTAAGTTTGGTTTGGATGTTCTCGAAAGGCTTTGCATGCACCTTCTGTGCAAGTGCGCTTCTTTCAGGCGGGCAGCATCCAAGATCCAGCCGCTGCAGCCACTGCCGCTGCAGCCACTGCTGCTGCCACTGCTGCGGTGACGCCTGCGGCCACCGCCGCTGCCACCGCCGCGGTGACGCCTGCCGCCACTACGGTCGCTGCCACCACGGCTGCAGCCACGACAGCCGCAGCTACCAGCACCACCTCCACCACCACCACCGTCACAAACACCACCACAGTGCTCCGTGACGAGTCGGGAGCCCGAGTGCCCACGACCATGACTGTGGTGGTCACCCACATAGAAATCGAATACGCAACCGTCGTGTTCACGGAAGAGCCCACCACCACAACATCCACCACCACTACCTCGACCACGAACACCACAACAACAACGCCCGCAGCTTGCAGTGCACATAATGGTTTTTGAACAGGGAGGGAGAGAGGGAGAGAGGGAGGGAGCTGAAAGCAAGCCACCAAACAAAGCCCAGGCCCAGTGGGAAGACTTCACGGCCCAGTCCCGGGGAAAGGGCTAATTCATTCACCAGATTTTTGTTTCCCAGAATTCTAAGTCGAACCACCGGGCGGCCAATGGCGTTTAGCGGAGGCTGGCCTGCGATGGCGGCAGCCCTCCCTCCCTCCCTCCCTCCCTCCCTCCCTCCTTCCCTCCTTCCCTCCTTCCCTCGTTCCCTCGTTCCCTCCTTCCCTCCTTCCCTCCTTCCCTCCTTCCCTCCTTCCCTCCTTCCCTCCTTCCATCCATCCATCCATCCATCCATCCATCCATCCATCCATCCATCCATCCATCCATCCATCCATCCATCCATCCATCCACCCCTTAAGGGAAGACAACACTTCAGCTTCGGCAGTAGTTGGGCTTCAGTTCAGATTTCAGGCGATCCTAGGCGGGTTACAGCAAACAGCTTGCATCGCGTGACGATCAGGTACAGACGGATCCAGTTTTCGGCCATCCACTTTTCTTGGCTGTGTCCCTTTTGGTTTGGTGCGTCCACAAAAAGTCGTTTGACCCGAACGAAGAGGTGTTCTTTTTTCCGGTTCCGTGAGCTCCGCCGGCGTTCCCTTTCCCTAGCTTTCCGGTCACTGGCGCTAACGTTAACTCCGGATTAATAAACCCCTGGTGGATTAATAGGGGGGGTGTCCCGGAACACCCCCCCTTATAAATGGGACGGGTTGATTAATCCCTGGGTCAACATGAAGTGGGAAGCTACCCTCCAACTTCCAAACCACCAAACCAAGGCTCAAGGGCCGCCTTCTTAATTCCAGAATCATGGTTCTGGGTAAACCATTTTGATACCGATCGGTTTTGATTGTGACTCAAGTGGGTCTGGCCGCACCGAGGAGCCGAAGGCATCCGGCCTGCGCAGCACCGTCGCCGTGCCGCTTTTGGCGGCGGTGGCCATGATGAGCTGAGCCAAGGGAACAACATGCAGCGGGGAGAGAGAGAGGGCCGAGGAGGGCGTGGGGCCCTTTTTTTCCTTTGGGGTGTTTTGTTTTGCGGTGTGTGTGTGTGTGTGTTTGTTATTATTATTGGGAGGTTTTTCAGGTTAAGGGGCTGGACTCAAGGGGGTTGAATACTTGGGGGGTTGATTGTTGGTGTGCGGGGGTGTACAATGGTTACATTTGACTCGATTGGGTTCGGATGTCCCAGTCGCAACATCGGCATCTCCTTGATCGAAGAGAAGAAGCGAGCCGCCGTTGATGCATTCCAGGCATACGTGTCAGTGGGTGCAGCCATTTGGCTTCGCTGATATGATTTGGCTTAGCTGACATGTCTGCCATCCACAGCTTCATACGGACTGGGACTCAAGTTTGGGTGCAGTGAAATCCAGAGCGAATCTTCTTCGTGCTTGGGAATGCCATGTTACATTTGCCGGCTCCGCTCAACCGCCCCCAACGGAGGGTTTGGCTCTGCTGTTGGCTGGTGTTGGCTTGTGGATGGCCTGAGTCAGAGCAGGCAACCGCTGGGTTATTTGACTGACCCCTTTCCAGACACAAAGTCAACGTTGGTGGGAGGGTAGATCTGCTGGGTGAGGTCCATGCTTCCTTATGTCTTTGCTCTTCTGCTCCTGCGATGTGCGGGGCTCGGATCTGAACCCAGCTGAGAAGAACACATGGCCGTGGCTCAAACTTTAAGAGCTGGAAAACCGCGGGTTTGAGTATACCATTTGACCATGTGCCATTTGGGGCCCCCCTTTGTTGAGCCACACCCGCATGGGCAAGCAACTGACCAAGCCGCGTGTCAGCGAGGCCCTGCGGAGCAGCCAAGAAGTCGCTCACAGAGCCTGGAGGCGAGGCGGCCGTACTACACTTCGATGACCCTGTGGCCTTCCAAAGGCAGCAAGGGAACCATTTTGGGGTAGGTGCTCCACCGATTTTAGTCAGTTTTAGTGGGGATTGGGATGTTCACTGGGGGCTAACCGGGCTTTTGACCCATGGCCATGTGGGTATCGTGAACTGACACCTGTTGGCAACACTGTTGGCATTCAATCCCTCTGCGGTCGCCCAGGTGGATGCTGACGGAGATGTCTCACGCCCCTTGATGCGCTCCCAGGCGAGGCTGGGGAACTGAAGGCTCGTCAGAAACGACCCAGCCGGCCCTCGTAGAAAAAGAAGTGGCCCGCTTTGGCTGGTTGATTCCAACTTCTTTGGGGTGTAGCGCCAACAGTGATGGATCCTCACTGCGAAGGGCTGCCCCCCCCCCAAGGCCCCAAGGTGCCCATTGTTGCTGACTTACGATGAAGCAGCTGCCTGTCATTAACGACGGCCAGTACTACTTCCACCCGCACGCACCCGCACACTGGAAACTAAGTTTGTCGCAAAACCATAGTAGACACCTTTTCATTTGTTTTGTTTTATTTGTTTGATCTTCAGGCAGTCTTTATCAAGGGGACTTCTTCAATGGGTTACTCATCACACATTGATGAGCCGTTTTTCAAAAAAGGAACCACTTGCGGGCCTGTCTGCCTATCTCTCTGCCTGCACGCTGTGCCGAGGCGCAAATCGACGTCAGGACGCATGAGAAGCCCTTCTTGCGGCTCCCCGCCGGCAAGATATGCGACCGCCAACTGGGCCGTTGGCGACTCATGTTCTGACAAGTGTCCGGGCACACAGTGCCCACGTCCACACACACACAGATACATAAATGTATATAATCCTGTATCAGGTTGGAAGGCTTGGGTTTACAGGCTTCATTCTGCAAGGAGTGTATTGGATCATGCGGGGCCTTTTGGCTCAAGTATGATCCAAACTGGCTAAATTTTAACTTCTGGTTTTGCGTGTTCGGCAAGGGTTATTGTCGAATGTTGGCAGTTCCAGGAGTTGACTTGGCCGTTCACACGGATCGTCCACTCTTGTCCGCAGGCGCCTACCTCGACTTCAAGCGCCATGTGGGCACTTTGCTGGAGCAGGGGAATCATGGCCAGGCCCGGCTGCTCTGGCTTTCGGCTGTGGAAGTGTTGCATGCCCCCTTCATGCAAACGCCCCTGCCCGTGGTTGATAGTGGGGAGATACCCCACTTACAATTTGCACCCTGCACTGATGACCAGTGTGCGAGATGTGACGTGTCTCTTGGCGGCTTCAAGTTGGCACCTGGTGTCGGCGTGCAGTCTTGGTTCAAGAAGGTGTATCTGCAGAGGAGGCCTGGGCCGCCTATCATGGGTGCTATGAGGAGGATTGCCTGTCAGAGACCATGGTGGCTGAAGCAGGCAGTGGCCTCCGTGCCCAGGACATCATCCCGATGTATGTCTCCGCCATTGCTGGCCGGGTGGAATCGGGCGACCTCCCCTTCGTGTCCTTCAGGGGCTTCATGGGGACCTGGAGGAGATGGAGCTTGGGGTCTCGGAGTTGGACCAAGCCATGGCCCAGGGAGGGTGACTCTCTGGCCAAAGCCACAGCGGGGAGGCTTCTCCGTGGGGCTGGACGAAGGGAGGAGGAACCTCCCTCTGGGCGGGTTTTGCGCCTACTGCGGCAGCAGGGCTCATTCTGTTTGCGCATCATGTGGCGTCCACCAAGGGCGAAGCCTGCCCCATCCGTTGCTGCCAAGGCTCTACGCTGGGGGGTGCTGCTCTTAGCCATGGCGTTTCGCGGTGACGCCACTCCTGGGCGCTATGCCACTGAACCCATGGACCACTCTGGGGCAACCCGGGCGGCTCTGGCGAGGGGCTTATTGGCTTATGTCTTGTGTCCAGGAGGCCAATGTTCGTGCCTTTCGGCAGAAGCACGGGCTGATGCAGGACTCCGACTTCGGCTTCGCCTTTGAGGCCTTCGAGGATGCCGTCCGCGTGGGTGGCCACTTCGTCGCTGCTGAATGGGCGCGGGTGCGGGCGGAGCAACAAGCCCACCTTCTCCCGGCAGCTGCGGCAGTGGTGGAGGTGGATCCCTGGCGAGTGACGCCGGTGGGGCCATCGACCCTCCGCCGGCCGGCGGTGCGGCTCTCAACGAGCAACGTGGGCCTGCGGTTGAGAACCCGGACAACGCCGAGGCGGTCGGCCGCAGGGTCAACCTGCTGACAGAGGCTTTCATGAAGTTGGGCGTCCTTCGACCTCGGAGACATGACGACCCGAAGCGCTATGCCGACTGGCAGCAAGCGGTTCGGAGACTTGCTCAGGAACGAGTCACCCAGTCTGAGGCGACCACGATCTTGAACGCGGTGAGGACGTTCCAGGAGCTCTCGCTCTTTCTCGCAGCCAGGGACGTGCAGGACCCAGAGGAGTTGGACTTTCACGCCTTCCTCGAGCAGGCCATGTCGCCCTCGCGAGCGCTGCAGTCTTTGCGCTGGTTGTCCAACAATGGCAGGTTGCAGTGGCAGCTGGACCGCCTGAAGCCCCCCAAGGTTATTGGGAAGGTGCGCAAGGCGAGGTCCCAGGCAGTGGTGGTGGAACCGCCCATGCTGCTCACCCTGGAGGGCAAGATCATCGAGATGCAGCAAGCCCGCGATCCAGCTTGGACAGCAGCGCTTTCGTCGTGGCTCGTGGCAGCGGGCTGCCTGCGCTACAAGCACTTGAGCCTGTCCAGTCCGGTGAAGATCAGCAGGGAGTTTTTCCATGGCCACTGCCACAAGGGGAAGCAGGCCCACAACCGACAGGGATTCGACTGGCGCACACCAGCCCGTTTCTCTAACGGTTGGCGCTGGGCTGACAAGTGGGGAGAAGCACGACAAGTGCGGCATCTGCTTTCACCCGGTCTCTGGCCAGGCTTGGCCCATTCGGGAGGTGCAGAGGGTTACTCAGCACCTCTACCACGGCGTGGTGGAGCCCCTCGAGCAGCTCACTAGCTATTCCTGGAGGCGGTTGCTGCCGACAGTGGGCTCCTTGATCCGCCTTCAGGACTCAGAGATTGTTTCCCTGGGGGACTGGCAGGACAAGGTCGAGGAGCGCGTCTCGATGCCGTTCCACTACAGCGGCGGCAAGTATGCCCTGTCCATGCGGACCAAGATGAGAGCCTTCCTCGTGGCCGCTGGGGTCGCAGACTGCGAGGCCTGGGAGACGGTCACCGAAGAGGAGATCGCCGAGGCCGACGAAGAGGCCAAAATCAAGGCTGCCCAGGCGTGCCGAGGGGACACAGAGGTGATCTCGAGCAAAGAGGCGGATGACCGAGGCTAAGCTTCGCGAGCTGGGGCTGCCTGTGCCGGCTGACCCTGTGGAGGTGGGAGCGACCCGCCCTGCAGGGGCGCTATCGGAGGCACCGGCCAAGAAGCGCCGAAGAATCTTGCCCCCGCCACTGCCAATCGCCCCGGCCGGGCCCATGTCATCCAGACCGTGGGCCGAGGAGCTTCGTGAGGCTGCAGCAGCCGACCACGTTGTGGACGTTGAGGATGCGGAGATCGGTGAAGTTCCTGTCTCGGGTGGTAATGCGCTACCACGCGAGAGCCCGGCGTACCTCGGCCAGCCTGCCCCATGCCAGCCGACTCGCATGGCTCCTGCAGAGGGACACCGAGGAGAGGGCAGACTGGGTGAGCCGTTTCAGGGAGGCCACCCTGACGCTGGGCCAGGTCATCAAGGCCACATACGAAGCACGGCGTCACCTGCCAAGCTGGCAGCACGGGGGGGCTATGCCAAGCTTTTCAGCATGGGCAATGCAAGGCGGGGCAGTCGTGCCCCAACGGCCAGCACAGGTGCGCCGCGATCCTCAGGGGCGACCGAGTCTGCGGGATGCAGAACCACGGAGCCAAGGAGTGTCGGGCAGCGAAGAAGTCTTGCGCACCCCCGCACCGGATCCCAGGAAGACGGCCCGTTGATGGTCGACCTCATGTGTGGTCCCAACATGCCCCTGGCAAAGGTGGCTGGAGGGTGCTGCCCATCGACTGGTCGCTGGACCCGGGGCACGACCTGTCCAACCCGTTGAGGCAGCAAGCACTGGAGGCACCGATGCGGTCAGCAGCCTTCACAGCAGCAGCCCTGCACTGCTCCACGAAATCCAGGGCCAGAGAGATCCCCAGAACCTTTGCGGACGGCCGCCCAGGTCCCAAGCCGCTACGTTCTGAGGTACACCCAGAAGGTTTGCCCGGGCTTGACCCCAAGAACCAAAGGCGGGTGGACGTGGAGAATGCGGCATGTTCCGAAGCAGCTCCAGGCTATAGCGGACGATGGCAGAGGGGCCCTGCGGGAGAACCCGGCTCGAAGCCTCCATTGGTCCCTCCCTCAGGAGGAGACCATGATGGAGTCCGGCCTCTGGTACGACACGACGTACTCGGCATGCGTTTTCATCCAGCGGCTGCGGCACAACATGAGATCGAGCTCTCGCGAATGCCACCATCAGCATGCAGCATGGGAGTGGGATCCTTGGGAGGACACCCAGGGGAGGCACCAGTTCCCGTCGAAAGAAGAAGCGGAATATTCGGCCACCCTGGCCTTCGCAATTGCTGTCTCGGTCAGTTGGTGGGCGGTCCGAGAAGGGTATGCCCGACTCCACGTGCCACGGATGCCGCCGCTGGAGGCGTGTGGCCGAAGGCAACACTGGCTGGATATCGATCTCAGAGCTATGCGCAGCTGGGCAATGACTCCGCTGGCCATCACACTCGGATTGCCACCGCTGCATCCCGAGGAGCGGGCGCGGCTGCCTACGGTGGTACGAGTGGCTGACGTACTCGCAGATGGCAAGCTGCCGCCGGACGTGGTTTACGTGGGGCAGGGCCACCACTCCCACCGGGTCCCACGGTCACAGTGGGCATCACCTTCGTGCAGGGGCACACCTGTACGACGGACGACTGGCTGCCGCTCTACGTGGACTTTGTCCTCGCCAATTTGCAGGCGGAGCTGCCGGCGCTGCAGGGCAAACGGCTGGCATGTGATTGCGGCCCGGACGGTGTCTGCGAGGCAGATGCGCTGGCTGGGATGGTCTTTGATGCGACCCATCCGGATGCCGAGGCTAGCAGGGGCTCTGTGCTCAGGGCAGCGGCTATCATGGGATCGCTCCGCGGCAGTGACGCCCTGCAGTCGATGTCACTCTGGTTTCCTCAGGAGGATGTGATTTTGGCCTTTCGCAAGCTCTATCCGGCCGAGTGGTTCCAATCTTTTCAGTGGCCCATGTTGGAGGACCTGTTGAACCAGGAACCCTTTACTTGCTACTTGGACTGGCGCCAGAGCCGCGGGATGGAGTGGGACGGGCCCTTGGGGCCACCCTCCTCGTCCAACGCTAGTCGGAGGCGTCAGCGACTAACGGAGGGCAAGCAGCATGGAGCCTACAACCACAAGGCCTCCATCCCGCCTCTGGTAGGATATGGGCTGGATGCAGACGCCCATTTTGCCGCATCCCTGCAGTAGACCACCACGGCAACCCCGTTGGAAGTCCTTCCCACGTTGGACGACGACCTGTCGTACGCGGCCAGCATGGTGATGGACAACCACAACCTGAAGGAACATCAAGGAGCTGAAGCGCAGGTGGGCGCCGGTGTCCAAGCACCTCGTGACCTTCCAGTCCGAGGCCATCCGAGCAGTTACCTCGAAGCGCGATCTGGGTCTGCTGGGACTCTTTCGTCGTCCTCATGCAGTGGGGCGACTTCGCCCTCCCTCACGGTTTCATCAAGGGCCTTCCCGCGGTGGGCTATGCCCCTCATTACGGAGTCTTCCCCCACCAGCCCGTCGAGGCAATCGCCCATTCGGAGGTGTTGGCTGGCTGGGAGGAGCACAACGCCGCCACCATCGCGGGAGTGCGGTCGGGTTCCACAGACTCCTTCGTCCTCGAGCAGTCCACGAAGGATCACAAGGAGGGGTTTTGCACCCCCCGATGAACCTGAGCCAGCTCAAGCGGTATGCCAAAGGAGACCCCTACCGGCTCATACCTCGTTGTGTCATCACACAGGTGTCCGGCAAGCAACGTCTAATAGACGACGCAGCACGGGGCGGGCAATCCGCATCGTCAAGAGATGCCAACAAACTCGTTTTGTGCACGCCGCTCCGCCCAGCGCTCCACGTCCAAGCTGCTGCAGCCTGCCTTCAGGAGTGCGCCTGGGAGCGGTTCGCGCAGCAGGGGCAGTGGACGGGGCCGGAGACGATTGGCCGAATGCCTACCGCCACTGTCCTATGTCACGACAAAAAAACCCTGGCCTGTGTGGTAGTCTGGTACCACCAGGAATGGCAGGGGCCCGCCTTCCAGGTGTATCACGCCCTCTTGTTCGGCCTTCCGTTGGCGGTCACCTCCTTCAACCGCTACTCTCGGATGGCGGAAGCTACGGGCAGGCGCTTTCTGGCAATCATGGTGTCCATGTATTTCGATGACAGTCACATCACCGACCGCGCAGTCCACGGCCCATCAGCCCAGTGGAGCTTTGGCGTCCTCAATGACCTGCTGGGCACCCCGTTTGCCGAGGAGAAGCGCCAGGGAGCTGCGGACGTCGGTACCTTCTTGGGTCTTGACTTCGACCTCTCGGAGATCCACACACATGGGCGTGCGCGTTTTTGGGTTCGAGAGCAACTCGAGCAGAAGGTGCTCACCTTCATGCGTGACGCCAGGAAGAGCGGGAAGTTCACCCCGGGTCAAGCCGCGAAACTCTACGGCATGGTCAACTTCCTGGAGCATGGCCTCTTCGGGCGCATCGGTTTTGGCGAGATCCAGGCATTGAAGGAGCACCAGTACGGGGGCTCCAGCAGAGCCGGCGCCAGCCTCCTGTCGGCTGTTGATGTGTTGGAGGCCATCATCAGTATGCGCCCCAGGAGGGAGCTGATGGTCCTACCCATGGACGTGCCGAGGGTGGTGGCTGCCTCGGACGCGGCTTTGGAGGCACCCCGTCAAGGGTCCGGCGGATACCACTTGGTCTTCCAGGACGGTGGCGTGCAGATCCGGGAAGCCTTTGTGGCCATCATTCCCTCGTAGGTCTATGACATGTGGGGGCCAGGCAACCATAAAATAGCCCAGTTGGAGCTATTCATGGTGGTGCACGCCCTCACGGCAAGACCCGACCAATTCCGCGGGAGACGCGGAGTGTGGTTCATCGATAACATCGCCAGTCTTATGTGTTTGATCAGGGGCAGGAGTGACAACCCCGACTTGGCCAAGATGGCGACGTATATTCAGTGTTTGCTCTTTGCGTTGCGAGCCTCACTTTACTGGGAATACATTCCATCCAAATCTAATTGGGCCGACGCGATCAGCCGATTAGGACCCAGTGACCCATGGTACAGGGCCAACCACTTCAAGCTGAATTTCAGTCTTTTCCCTCCAGCTCTACTGAGTCTTCCGTACCGCGCAGTGATTACCTTCGCTGAGTTCCTGTGAGTGCATTGGGAGAGGTTGTGAAAGTAAGTGCTTTGGGAGATGTATCCTGCTTGATGCAGGGCATCCAGAGCTTATCAGGGGTAAACCCGATGTGCCGAGGAAATCGGCGAATTGACTGGGCCACAGCATGAGGAAATTCATGCTGTGGATACCAACGCAAATCCCACAGGTAAAGGTAGGTTATCAGACTCGTATAGCATCGCTTGGAGTGAAAATGCTGCGGTGCTGTTTATATCAAACCTCCTTGGGAATGTAATCCTGTATCAGGTTGGAAGGCTTGGGTTTACAGGCTTCATTCTGCAAGGAGTGTATTGGATCATGCGGGGCCTTTTGGCTCAAGTATGATCCAAACTGGCTAAATTTTAACCCCACCCTATCCCGCCCTAGTTCACCGGCCCCCCTAGTTGGGACGTCCGTGAACTTTGAAGAGCGCGCCGCGCTTGGGGAATGCCTGGAGGACCAGGCCCTCAGTCAGTCAGTTAGCTCTGTGGTGGGAGATGTATCCTGCTTGATGCAGGGCATCCAGAGCTTATCGGGGGTAAACCCGATGTGCCGAGGAAATCGGCGAATTGACTGGGCCACAGCATGAGGAAATTCATGCTGTGGATACCAACGCAAATCCCACAGGTAAAGGTGGGTTATCAGACTCGTATAGCATCGCTTGGAGTGAAAATGCTGCGGTGCTGTTTATATCAAACCTCCTTGGGAATGTATATATATATATATAATATATATTATATAGAATATGCACACATGGCTGTAGATACATATGCATGTAATGTACTGGAATGTAATGTAGTGTAGTGTAGTAAAATGCAATGCAAAGTAAAATGGTGCATGTGTCTGAATGTTATGTTATGTTATGTTATGTTATGTTATGTTATGTGCTATTATGTTATGTTATGTATTGTGCACCTATGTATGCATGTCTGCATGCCTGCATACATACATACATACCTGCATATATGTATGTATGTATGCATGCATGCATGCGTGTAATGTATGTATGTATGTATGTATGTATGTATGTATGCAATGTAATGTAATGTAATGTAGTGTAGTGTAGTGTAATGTAATGTAATGTAATGTAATGGATTGTAATGTATGTATGTACGTATGTATGTAATGTATGTGTGTATGTATGTGTGTATGTCTGCCTGTCGGTTTGTCTGTCTGCCTGTCTGTGTGTCTGTCTGTCTGTTTGTCTGTGTGTATGTATGTATGTATGTATGTATTTAATGTAATGTAATGTCATGTAATGTAATGTAATGTAATGTAATGTAATGTAATGTAATGTATGCTTTTATGTATGTTTTATGTATGTATTTATTGTAATGTAGTGTAGTGTGATGCAGCGTAATGTATTGTAATGTAATGTAATGTAATGTACTTTACGTTTTGTTGTGGTCTGATATGTTGTGTTATGATATGTTATGTTGTGGTATGTAGGTATGTATGTATGTATGCATGTGTGTATGGAATGTCACAATGTATGTGATGTATTTAAATAATGCAATGTACCGTATTGTACTGTAATGTCATGTTACGTGATTTTTTTGTATGTATGTATGTAATGTGTGTTTGTATGCATGCAATGCAATGCAATGCAACGCAAGGCAATGCAACGCAATGTAATGAAATGCAATGTAATGTAATGTAATGTAATGTAATGTAATGCAGATTCATACATGCATACATGCATTACACACACTACATACATTACCTACATCACGTACACTAAATGCATTACACACATTCCATACTTTGAAAGCGGCTGTGAGGCCACGTCAATGGCGCTCGGCGAGTTGTCCACTGTGAATGAAGGGCCCTCTCGCCGATACAGCGTCGGTGGGCGTTTCATCGCCTGATTCGCACATGCGGTTTCACACACCTATGTCTTTTCAGGTGTGAACCGCCTTCCCGTTTTGGGGGAACTTGGAATGTCCATCTCCCGGTGCCTGTCCACCAGGATGTCCTGGGTCGCGATCCAGCCTCCTGTACATACATGCATACATGCATCCATAGATACATTACATTACACTACATTATGTTACAATGCACTTGCATTGCATTGCATTGCATGTATGTATGTCTGGATGTAAGTATGTAATGTAATCTACTGTAATGTAATGTAGCGTGTTGTAGTGTTGTGTTGTTATGTAATGCAATGCAATGCAATGTAATGTAATGTAATGTAACGTAGTGTAATGTACAGGAGGAGGACGCCACGGATCAGATCTTCTGGATCGTGACCCAGGACATGCTGGTGGACTGCGTGACCAAGTCCATGCGCTGGGACCAGCGCCGGGAGATGGACATTGCAAGTTCCGCCACAACGGGGAAGGCGGTTCACACCTGTAAAGACACAGGGGTGTGAAAGCATGTGCGAATCAGGCGATGAACCGCCGACCGACGCTGTATCGGCCCAAGGGCCTTTGAGTCACAGTGGAAACGCACCGCGCGCCTTGACGCGGCCTCACAGCCCCTTTGAAAGTTTGGAATGTATTGAAATGTATGTACTGTATGCAACGTGTGTAATGTATGTTATATATGTAATGTATGTAAGGTGTGTAGTGTGTGTATGCATGTATGCATGTACGCATGTATGCATGTACGCATGTATGTATTTTTGTATGTATGCATGTAACATGTATGCATGTATGTATGTATACGTGTTCACCCGCATGATCCACCTTTGCCCCTCCCAACGCAACAAGTATTAAATTGTCAACGCTTCGCCTCCGTTTTGGTGTTGTGATTGTTTGAGCGTGGGCTGGTTCCCAAGACATGGGGGCAATTTGACTGAAGGGAATTTGACCGATGGCTGGACCGGTTTGCTTAGTTTTCTAGGGGTTTCTGCTGGGGAATTTGGGCGGTTCCGTGGACTTGGACAGGTTTTCGATGCACCAGGGAAGCTGACCTGATTTCTTGGGGATTTGACCGGCTTTAAATTGCTCCGGTTTCTGCGGCACAGTCATGGTTCGAACACGGAAGGGTCTGGCCTCAGGGGCCTGCTTTAGAGGGGCTGGAGGCAGCTGGAGCATGAGTTTGGATTGCGCAACGCGGGGCTCGGGGAACATAAGCCTTCTGTAATTCTAAGACTGCACAAAGCGCCTTGGTTGTATGTATGCATGTATGTGAAACATAGTGTCGGAAACAGCCTCATTTCGTGACGCTTCGTTTCCTTTGCGTTTTGCGTGGCTTCGCCTCGAGGGATTTGACAGCACCGGCCAGCACCGCCTCAGGGAAGCGCCCTGGCATCGCGTGGGTTTTTAGCGGGGGGTTCGACAGGTCTTGCCATGGATTCGGAGCCAAGTTGCAAGGAAAGCCATGGCCGTTAATCCCGGCCCAGAATTGGCTCACTAAGAGAGAGCGAGAGAGAGAGAGAGACAGACCGAGCCATCGGCTGCGAACCTGAGTGATTTTGGTGGAGTGCGGAATGCGTGCGGCTGATCACCTTGGGCACTTGGATCTTCGGCTTTGGGTTTCATAAAATTATTCCTCCATGTGTAGGCGGCGACTCCAGTGCTCAGACGGGGGGTGGCTGGCAGTTGTTTGGTCCGTTGGTGGTTTGTAAGATTGGTAGCCGCACCTGCATCCAAGCTTCAGCTTGGCTCCAATTCCCTCCTGGTCCGGACTTCGGCAGGTTTGGGTTGGACATGACCCTGCTCCACCAAAATCGCCTGCTGAGCAAGGGTGACAGCAAGCCGTCGCCTTGCCGCAGTGCTTCCCTCGCATTGTATTAAAGCTGGGAGTGGGTGCCCACTAAGATGGACGTGGTTGGTCGCCAAGTAAGTCCAGCGAGGTCCAAAGTTCAGAGAGTGAGAGCGGCGTCCAGATGCTGGTGCCTGTCCGGCCAGGTGCTTGGCCGGCATCCAGTCGCAGACCGTGTGCTGCCCCAAAAGCTGCCAAACCTGCGGCGGCCCCGTCTGCTCTCTTCTGAATGGGGGCCGCCCCTCGGCGCGAGCAAATGAAAAACCCGCGGGGGGGGGGGGGGGTTGGCAGCGCAAAGGGCGGCTGGCTGGGAACGAGTTCCACGTGAACTTGACGAGCAAGTTTGGCTAGGGCGCTCACGCTTCTAGGTTTGTTTTTGGTTGCGTGTAAGTGTGACATGGGTATTTATCACTCGTTGTGCAGCTTCTTGTAGACCTGGGTATTTGCTTTGGATGGGGTTTGCGTAAATGCAACGTGGGGTTTGGGATGAGGGCGTGTCGCTTGTCCAGCGTGCCGGCAGAGGCTTGAATTCAAGAATGTGCAGTCGGCTCACTGCAGGTGACGCGTGCTGCTTCGTGAACATCATGGACTCCCAGAGGGTTTGTGCGGGCCCTAGAACGGAAACGGCTTCTAAGGAGAACTTCTAGCTTTGACCGTGGCTCGAGTGAGTTGACAAGCTGTGTTTCTTGCCAGTTAATTAATACATTGGTTTACTAGGTCCCCCAGTAGTGCCTTTTTACTTTGTTTGGGGGGAGGGTGCCCCTACGAAAACAGACTACCGCAAAAAGGGTACCCTTATTCTAACCTCTCTACTGGAGGACCTAGTCTATCAACCAGTATTCAATCCTGCGTCATCCATCCCAACGGGTCGCGATCGGAGCGGATTTGGTCCATGGAAGCCCTTTTGGTGCCCACACATTTCTTAAAGAACCAATGTGGCGGCTGGGTCCCGAAAGCCTTCCAACGCATCCACTTGCTTTCAGCTAACTTGAGCTGAGTATCCAGGAACTTGCAGCCACGGCAGTTTGTTTCATGAGGTTTGTTTCAAAGGTCGGCCGAATCCCAGAAAGGAACTCTGGGACGCCCATTGGGGGGGGGAATGATTTGTTCGGATGTCACAATGGGCCCAATGTCCCAGTCCCATGGCTTTCCTTCTGCTTCGCTCCAAGCTGCGGCTCTGCCCGGGCAAAGCCTCTCGAGGTGGCCCCGGGGTGGGCGCGCCCTGTGTGGTGGCGGAGCACGAAGAGCCCCGCGACGCGCGCCTTGCAATGAACCCGGGTCGAGGGAAAAATATGAGCCAGCCGGGTAAGGTTAGGGATGGTTCCAGCCAGAGGCGCCAGGGGCGGAGATCCACCTTTCTAGTTCTTTACATTGGTTTGGGTAGACCATTTTAATACCGGTCGGTTTTGATTGTGACTCAGACCACCCATCACCAGCTATTTACTTTCATAGTCACATTTACAAGCTGGTGATGATCATCTGATGGAGCTCTTTCTCTCGCCTCCATCCACCTCTTCCTAGTCGAAAAATAGAGTGGAGATTGGACTGAAGCCTGACATTATTTCCAAGACTCTCTGGTCAGGCTTCTGTTTCCTCTCGGCCGGAGCTTCACCAAGGTGAATCGCAGTATCATTCCCTTTCGGCGCAACACCCTGATTCCACATGGTTTCCGCTTGGCTTCCCTTCAAAAGGCCAACTGACCGGGGATTCACCATGAGAGACTTCCAGATTTGAGTCGCTGGAGATCAAACTTAAAGCGATGGTCTGAACATCGACCCGGGTTTTAAGTTAGCTTGGGGTAGTTCAAACAGAGCCCTGCACAACATGGGGCTGCTTTCTTTTCTCCGGCATGGGGGAGGGAATCCAGGAGGCAGAGGTCTTGAAAGGTTCGCTTGCCCGGATGCGCTCCGCGGTCGCCAGAGCGCATGGCGAGTTACGTAGATTCTGATTGGCAATGGCTTCTTCACAGCATCCGGACTGAGGGCTGTTCGGTATGGAGGCAAGCTCAGTCTTTGTGGCTTGTAGGCACAGGGTGGAGACTCGAGAACAGTCTAGAGCCCGAAACGAGGGTTGGTTCAAAGGGACACCTCAAGGAAAACCACCAATTCTTGCCCCCCTTGTTTGTGACTTTTCGAGGGCACCCCATTACCATTATTCACAGGGCAACACCAAGAAACCACCCTCCCCCCATTCTTGTCACTTTGTTCAGGGTACCCCCGTTCTCATTTTTTGAAAGGGAACCGACAAGACATTTTTACTTTTTCTGACGGTACCTTTTTTTTCCTCCTTGTCCAAAGGGAAACGACGACACCCCTCCCCACTTTTGCCACTTTGTTTGAGGGTACCCAATTTCATTTCATCCTGGGTTTCCACGTGCAAGAAGAAGAAAAACGGGGGTATCCTCAAAAAAGTAACTGTAAAATGGAGGGGGGAATGTCTGGTTGCTATTCTTTCAACGGGGAAACACGCAGGAATCCTTCTTTTCTTGGTTCCTTTTTTGAGGATACCCCTGTTTTTCTTCTTTTTCCCGTGGAATCAAGAAATCCCCCGATTTTTGTTACTTTTCTGAGGATAACCCCGTCTTTCTTAAGGATGCCGTTTTTGGATCCCCTTTTGAGGATACCGAAACCCAAGAAGGACTCCCCATCTCTGAAGGGTCCTCGAGGTGCGACGGCATCACCTCGGTGCCCGTGTGCTGCCCGGAGAGCTGCGGCGCCTGCGGGGGCTCGGCCTGTAGCCAATTCCCGGGCGGCAGCCGCTCGGAAATCCTGGGAGGGGGCGGGTGGGGGGGGGGAGGGGGGGGTGGAGGGGTGAGGGGGCGGGGAGTGAATCACATTTGTATTATAGATAAACGCATATATATATATATACATACATAACAATATTAAGTTATGACGTTAAACTTTTATTGGGGAGGGCAAAGGTCAAAGGAGGTGGGGCCATCGCAACCGAAGGTTCAGTTCCGGCCAGAAATCGGTGGATTCTGCCTCTGAATTCCTGACGTGGATTTGGGTAGACTGAAAAGCCTTGGCTCTTGGAGCCAGCAAGCCAAATTCCACCAAGCAGTAAGGTGATTCTTGAGTGACACCCAGGTTTGAAAACCGTTGGTCTTCTGTTGTGGGAATCATCCTTTCGGGCCTGCACTCATCCAGACAAAGACGTTCCACTTGCTGCGGTACCAATGTGATCTCCTTTAAATTGATTAAGTAGCCACGCAAGTGCAACCAGCGCCCCGCAGCCACGAACTTCCTTCGTTTTTAAGGCGACTGCAATCCCGGGAAGTAATTCTGGTGGCTGGACAGGTTTTGTTTTCGGTCGTGTCCTCGGTGGTTTGATTTGTTGGGCTGATTAGCGGCTTGGGTTGTTTGACACCACTTGCACAAGGTAGCAGTCAGTTGCTCGCACGTCAGGTGAGAATTGCTGCCATCGAACAATTGTTGGTGCTGGCCGGAAATGTTCAGAGGAGACAGCTCCTCCATGCGCGATGTATGATGACCGCATCCTCAACCCGCCTGCCACGGTGGTAGCCACAACGGCCACTATGACCAGCACGAGCACAACAACTACAACTCTTACCACCACCAGTGTCACAGTCACCACCAGCACCAAGACCGTTACCACCATCACCGAGACCACTACAACGGTGACGGGGACCACTACAATTACCACCACCAAGACTGTCACTGCGACCACCTCGACCATCACGACGACCGTGCTTTCCAGGCAGACTGTCACCACAACAACCTTGGTGACAAACTCTTGGACAACCCAGGCCCCAACGACTGAGACAACCACGCCCGGAAATGTGAGCCCTTGATGCAGCTGTTCGAAGTACTGCGCCTGCCAAAATGAGCATGGCCGCATGATTCTCGGCATTTCTGGCTTGGGGAAATTCTGTAGCCACTGCAGGCGGATCCGGCCGTACAACTTTGCCTTCATTGCACACAAAGGCTAGGTCCTGCCCGAATGAGTGACGGCGACATCACCGAAGGAGTAGAAATGTGTGACCTGCGCGTGCGGTTAAACAGGTATTTGCTTGTGCCTAGGCCGGGTCAGCATGCGCGCACGCTTGTGTTCAAGCAGTTCTCGGTTCGAATCTAAAGATTCATGGAGTAGGCATGAAGACGCGATGGAGGCCCTTGTTCTTGCTGTGTGCGCAAAGCTTCGCCCAGATCCTTGAGGACGGCTTTCATCAAGACTTCCAAGGCCAAGTCTCCAGCAATTTCGGGGGCAGCGCGGACTCATATGGGGGCGAGGCCCGTGTCTCCAATTTCGGGGGCAGCGCGGACTCATATGGAGGCGAGGCCCATGTCTCCAATGTCGGGGGCAGCGCGGACTCATATGGAGGCGAGGCCCGTGTCTCTGGCAATTACGTGGGCAACGCGGACTCATACAATGGAGGCGACGTTCGTGAATGCCAGGGGCACGAGGAGCAGTGGGGGACATGCCCCAACTTGCCAGAGTGCCAGGGCTGCTACCCGGTGGACTGCATGTTCTCGGAGTGGAGCAGTTGGTGGAAGGGCAGCGGCTGCGTGGGCCTGATGTTCCGCCATCGCAGCATCGCTCTCGCCAACAACGAGTGCGGCCTGCCCTGCTACGGCACCAAGATTGAGTCCAGAAAGCACTATGTGGCGGGCTGCGAGAGGCCACCACAGAACTGCGTGTTGTCTGCCTGGGATGAGTGGAGCCACTGCCAGAACGAGAAAGACCAGTCGGTCCGGAGCCGGCGGGTGGTGACGCCATCTTCAAGAGATGGTGATCCCTGCATGGGCTCGTTGTCAGAGACTCGGCCGTGTGGAGGGCCCCACCCTGAGCCCTGCAAGTTTGGCGCCTGGCAGTCGTGGACCAGTTGCAGTGCCTCCTGCGGGCCTGGGCGATACACTAGGCTGCGGAAGATCATGTCAGAGGGCCACATGAGTAGCCAGACCTGCGACGACGCCCTGCTGGAGACCCACACTTGTCATTTGCGGGACTGTGTCACCCGGGATTGCCGCCTGTCTTCTTGGTCCGACTGGAGCTTTTGCGGAGCTGGCAGCATCCAGAGGATGAGGCACAGGCAGGTCTTGCACGGCGCGCAGGGCATGGGTCTGGTGTGCAACGCCAGCTTGGTGGAGACCTCAGGTTGCTCCGAAAAGATCCCCCACCACTGCTCGCTGTCCACCTGGTCTCAGTGGACGGGTTGCGACCGCAGCTGCCACGGGGGGCAGAAGTACCGGCAGAGGGAGCTGCTGCATGCCAGCTCCCACCGGAACTTCTGCGAGGGGGTGAAGCTGAAGCAGGCAGCCGCCTGCAACACCGAGCCGTGCTTTCCTCATTCCCACGACTGCCAGCTGGGTGGTTGGACCTCCTGGGGCGGCTGCACTGGCATCGCGGGCGTGGAGCGCCGGCAGCGGGCCGTCGTGGCCCCGGCCGGGTCCCAGGGCGGGCACGGCTGCTACGGGATCATCGGAGAGCTGCAGCCGTGCCAGCAGGTGCCGCCCACGCCCATCGACTGCCAGTGGGGCCAGTGGGCGGACTGGAGCGCCTGCTCCTGCTCTTGCGGGGGAGGATCCAAACGCCGCAACCGCGCCATCGAGATGTCGCCGCAGAATGGCGGCGCCCCATGCGAGCCCAAGGACAAAGAGGTTGTCGCCATGTGCAACACCCGGAAATGCGACGTGCACTGCGAGGATGGCTATTGGGGTGCCTGGATGGACTGGAGCGAGTGCTCCGCCACCTGCTCCTCCGGGTACCGCTCCCGGCGTCGCTCCTTGGATGTGTTGCCCAACTCCTGCGGCAAGATGCCCACGGGCCAGCGCGAGGAGTTCGAGATGTGCGACGACCTGGCCAGCTGCTTCCACGAGACGGACTGCCGGCTCTCCGCCTGGGCCTTCTGGTCGGAGTCTTGACTGCTATTGGGTTGGATCTTTAGACTTTAACTTTTTAGAAAAAGGTGTTTTCCACTAAACCCCCAAAAAGTCATCCACATTTTGCAGGGGGGTCGTTGCAACCAAGGAGTGCAGCTGCAGCTGCAACGGCATCCGCGAGCGGAACCGCCACATCGTGGCCTACTCCCGGGGCGGAGGCCGGCCTTGCGACCGCATGGCGCTGAAGGTGATTGAGCAGTGCAACCCAACCGAAGCATGGCTGGACTGGTCATTTCTGCCAGTTCTACTTGCATGTGCGGTTTGCTTTCTTTACCTTTCCCGCCGAAAGTCGGACACCTGGATGTTTTGGGATTTTGGGCATATGTGCCTCTAAAACTCATTCAAGTGTTTCGGCCACGTTAAATTGACGACCAGCTAAAGGAAACAGCGCTAGAACATATGGGGGTTGTCTGAAAATCGGGCAGCCCCCCCCCAACAAAAACGAAAGCAAGAAAGAAGAAGCAACACTAAGGCTTTCAGTTTGCCCCTTGTTTCCCTTCCAGGCAAGCCACGGTGCCGGAGCCTCAAACAGACACGGCTGAAGCGCCCGCTTTGCATCTCAGGAGGGCGCCCAGGAGCCGTCGGAGTGCAACCAGCGCCCGCGGGACTGCGTCCTAGCGCCCTGGGACCCCTGGAGTCGCTGTTCCACCACCTGCGGCGTGGGACAGGAGAAGCCGGCGAACCGGTGTCCATTTTTTTGTTGGGGCGGGGGGGGGGGGGTTGGGAGCAGCACATGTACCTCGCAAAACAACGGGCCAATGTCGAAAATGGGGTGGGGGTGAAACCGGGGGGAGGCCCCTGGTGCAAAGCGGTGGCATGGTTGTGCAGGAACTGGTTGCGGCTGTGGTTCGAATCCATGAAAGGGCATGCCACTCTCGGAGCACTGGGTCTTTCTCTCTTTGTGGGTTCCGGGCGCGACAGGGACACGAAAGGGAAATGACCCGATTCAGACCGAGCTTCCGGAAGTCAGCCTGGTTCTCAATGCCGAAGCATGTCCCAAGCTTCAAGCTGGGGTCATCATTTTGACCGTTTCTAGGGGGTATCAAAGTCAGAAATTGGGGTTGTTTCCCCACTTACGGGGGGATTTGACAATGGAATAATGGGGCCAGTCAAGGACAACACACATTGTTAAGTTCCCCTATGGCCGGCACAGCTTCAAATCCCATGGCGACTTCACCTTTCGCCAGGAGACGCGGGAGCGCTCCGTGGCAGTGCCCTCGGCTGGTACGGGCCGGCCCTGCGAGGGCAGCCTCATCGTCACCAGAAAGTGCAACCTGAGGCCCTGCAAGGCGCCCGGAAAAAAAAAGAGAGAGGAGAGAGAGACAAAGAGAGAGGCGCCAAGGGATGACTGGTGGGTTTTGGTGGTCAGGGGATGACTGGCGCAGATGCGCCAAGGGGTTCTTGGCTTTGGCGCGCGAACCCACTCCCAGCATCACCGCCAATCTCTAACGTCCAATATAAATCAAAGATATGGGAATAGAACTAGAACAAAGCAGCAACAGCCCCAGCAATCCCCAGCACATCACAGGGACCACAGGCTTGCTCAAGCCGAGGATTTGGTGATCAGTTTTCAATTTTAAAACATGTTTGATGACAATGACTTATGATTTAATTATCAGTTTAACCATGATTTGTTGCCAGGCTTCCTGTGCGCGTCCCTTTTGGCAAGAAGGGGTCGGCGGATGGCAAACTTCGTTTGGATTGGTCGGGGGATGCATGGGGCCGGTTTTCGTTTTTCTGGGGTCTTGGTCGAATGGTCTGCTCGGCGCACGCCCCCGGGACCACTTCTGTTGGCTTCCTTTTTGACTTTCTGTCAGTTTCTGCAACCGTGGTGATCGATCCCGGTCACCGGTCAGGAGGAGGGCCGTGAGGACTGTCAGCTGGGGCCCTGGTCCGAGTGGGGCAGCTGCAGCCACTGCGGGGGCCAGAGGTGGCGGCACCGGGTGATTCGGAGCCTTCCCAATGCGCAGGGCACCCTCTGCGAGGAGCGGAGCACGAAGCTTGGCGTTTCAGCGGTGTCTACGTGCCTTTTGGGTGCGATCTTGGCTTTGGTTTTTTTCGCCTGCGGTAGGCTTGCAACCCTTCTGCCACGCGTATTTAAGCTTTTTCAGCTTTCAATCTTTTACATTTTGGGATATGTCCGGCTTTGTAGGCGGAATGCGTCATGCAATCTGGAAGGGACTCTACCTGTTATCCACCGTCCATGTGGATTCGGCGTCACTTTCCATGAGCCAAGGAAGGAGGTCTCGAATTGCACCTCCATTTGCCACGAGATCCGCTTGTGCGCCTGGTCCTCATGGTCCGAGATGCGCCTCGGTTCAAGTGGCGCTGAAAGAATGTGTGTTTCCTTGTCGGTTCGAGTGCGAGGCCCAGGTACTTGAAGGGTAGTGGCAGTCCCAGCCGTAAGTTGAACCCATTGGATTCTTTACTTTGGGTAGGCAAGAAAGATCCAGCCTATTGGCAGTCCCTGTTTCAAGCAAGGACCTTTCAAGATGGTCAGACCAAGGAGCCTTGAAATGGTTCCAGTTTTAGGCTCATTGCGTTTCGCCCCATCCCTTTGAACATGTGCAACTGCCCATTTATCAAACCTCCTATCGCCTTCCTTATGGTCCAAGGGGTAGTTTTCCGGGCTTTGAAGCCAGCCAACGAATCGGAGTCTCTCGACCGAGGCAGTGCTCCCAGCAGTGCGGCAGCAGTTGGACGACTCTGCGGAGCCGCGAGATGCAGCTGCTGCCTACCACCAGCTCGGTGCCGGACTATTTGTTCCGCGGGGACAAGACCACCAGCTGCTACGGGTCCCAGGCAGAAGGGCAAAAGGGCGGCAGTAGGGTGGGAAGCGGGGGAGAACCTGGATTGGGCTGAGCTGTTGAAAGATGATTGAAATGGCCATGTTTTGTTTTTAGGGAACAACCTCAACAGTGATTGGCGGACATGAATCCCCACCCAAATGATGTCCACCAAAAGGTCCCCAATTAAAATTCATAGCCAACTAGCCAAGTAATTACAGGGCTCCTTAAAAGATACATCTTGCAACCATTTGAAACATGGTCTTTTCCAGCAAAATAAAGGGACACGCCATTTACAAGACAATGTTCATGTGTATAATGCATCCGGATCCCTGTAATTAGCTATTCCTTAAACATTTTTTTGGGGAAGAGTTCCCCTTGAAGCTCAAGCCCTAAAAACAGGTGCCCTTTTTTCCCCCCCGGCCACTGGGCATCTGAGAATTAGCTGATTAGCTATTCCACCGAACCTTCGAACAGGTGGACGTGGCCAAGTGCCCTGCCGTCTCTGACTGCGAGGACCAGTGCCTTCCGAAGGACCGGTGTCACGGGAGTCCGGGCTTGGTTGAGTTTAAAGGGGGGCCCTTCCCAGACAAAAAGGGGGAAAAAGGGCGGAAACCACTGGGCAACTGGGTTAGGCACAAGTCTAGGGGACACTTTTCCGTTCTGAACCCCTTCTTGAAGCCCAGGGGAAACAGCGATCGGTTTTTGAAAAGAAATATGGTTGAAAGGAATGGGGAATCAACCCCTAGAATGACAGAATGACAAGGAAAACCCATGGAGGACTTCAAGGCGTTTTGTTTCCTGAGCTTCCTTAGGTGTGTTTGTCATTTGTAGGCTGGACACATTTGCTCTGTTGATTTCAGAGCAATTCAGTTGAGCCACGGCGCTCGGTTTGTGAGACTTCTTTCTTTTTTTTTGGTGTGGCAGTCTGAGACCGAGTCTACGAACCCATGTGTGAGCTACTGGTTTGAAGGCCCCGATTGAATCGATTCGCCACAACCTATGACTTTCTTTGGGGACTGGCCACTGATGGCAAACTGGACTCTGTGTTCACCCATGCCGACCCCCGGTGTGAACCCCCCCAATTTATTGTTTAACTAAAGCGGTCAACGCCACATTTCGGCATAACCCTGGTAGGCTTATATCTTCCCCCCCCCCCCACCCGGTCACCCCTTCCTCATGCAAGTGACCCTGGGGCCCCGCAAAGCTTCAGCCAAACTTGCTGCGATAGGTCGGGAATGAGAAATGGAATGACGAGAAAATCCGTCCCTTGGCTTCCTTGAAGGGAATGGGTTCATTCCTACATTCCCTATCGCCTCAGTGGCCTTGGCTCTGAGCCCTTCGGCCCCTTCGGCCCCTTCGCCTCGCGCAGGACTGCTCCTTCGGGGCCTGGAGCCAGTGGACGGAGGCCACCTGCGTGGGCCTCTGCGAGCGCCAGCGGGTCATCGCCCACATGAACAACGAGTGCGGCAAGCCCTGCTCCGGCCCTTTGCTGGCGCCTCGGGCCTTTTTTTTATTATTTTTTTTGGGGGGGAGGGGAGGGGGGGAAGTTGGGAGGGGGGGGGGGGCAACAACTCTCCCTCCCCGTTCTTGTCTCCTGGCGTTGGCGGGTTTTTGTACACTTCTTTTGCTTTGGGGTGGGTTTTTTTTGAGAAGTGAAGGCGCTGCTTTGTATTTGTTGTTTATTTGGTCCTGCTGAGGTGTTGTTGTGTTATGTCCAAAACATCTTATAGTTTCCCCTGAAACAGGGGCCCTTGAAAAGACATTTTGCTTTGGCCGAAGCCAAAGCTCCTTTTCGAGAAGCGCAGAGTCAGGAAACCAAGCACTGCCACACCCAGTGCGGGCATGCCGTGGACTGCAAGCTGTCTGAGTGGTCGCAGTGGAGCCACTGCACGAATTTGACCTCTCAGGTGGTACGAGGGCAGCGCTTCTTGCCATCCAAGTACCGGTCTTTTGATCCATTCCCCGCCAAAATATGGTTCTTTGAGTGTTGCTTCATAGTGGAACCACCCAGGAGGATGGCTTTCTTTGTGAGCCTGACTCGTCCAACACCAAGGTTCAGCCTTTCGCTTTTGTTGCTTTTTTGCCCAGCGGGCGGCAAATGAGAGTTCCAGGAACGGGTTTGCCCAGTGGCGTGCAGTTCCGTTTCCAGGGCCGCTAGGAACCCGCCAGGGAATGGTTAATATTTACATAATACAGTCCCCACGTGCGCAGTGGCATAAGGCTAGGCGCTTATCACGGATTTCTTGGGGTTCATGAGGGCCTCCTTGGGCGTGGGATGCACTTGTCCTCACACTATATGATGTTTGTTGGTTGGCGATGGCTTCATTTTACACACAAAAACGCCACAACAAGCATGCCCGACTTTCCTGTCCAAGGTTGTTTGCTTGCTTGCTTGCTTGGCTTGGCTTGGCTTTGCCTTGCTTGCTTGCTTGCTTGCTTGCTTGGCTTGGCTTTGCTTTGCCTTGCTTGCTTGCTTGCGGGATGGGGGGGGGGGTTGGGCGAATGCGAACCAATGTTCGGTTCCTCGCTCAGGCTACCGGCACCGGCACGTGGTCACGGAGCCGGAGCGCGGGGGCATGGCCTGCAGCGGGGATCTGCGGCAGACCAGGGCCTGCCTCAGCGAGATGCCGGAGGACTGCCTCTTCTCGCCCTGGGAGGCCGGGAGAAGTGAGAAGGAAAGGAAGGTGCGGCGTCAGAGAGAGGCAACTTCTTGCTGGTCTTTCTGGGAAAGGTCATTCCTGGCGTCAGTTTTTTTTTTTTTTTGGGGGGGGGGCGGCAACTTCATCCTGTTTTTTTCCTGCAAAGTAAAAAGGGGAAACCAAAAGCTTGTTAAAAGACTTGCTGGTGCGAGAAGGGAATGAGGGAACCTGGAGATCCGGTTTCGGAAAATGGTGTTTCTTGGGGCCATTCTATTTCTCACTCCCTGCATCTCTCGCACCAGCACAGGTATTGAACATAAGAAGCAGGGGTTTTGCCACCCTCGCCCGGTGGTAAGGGAGCCTGCGAGCTGGGGGCAGGGAGCTGAGTCTTGTGACTTTGACCCGGAAAAATGAGTTCCTGTTGGCTTCCCTGGGCAAAATTCCAAAAGGGTCCGGATGTTTTTGGACCAACCCTCCCTTGAAGCGACTTGATCGATTCACGGACACTGTGGACCCTCAAGTCATGGCCCCAAAAGGTGGTCACCTTTGATTTCCAGGTCCTGGCTCTCAACAAATCGTAGCTGGGTTCCTTTTGGCTTTACCCAATCCAATTTCCACGTTGGGGGGCGGAGGGTCTCTTGGATTGACCATTTTTCAAAGGCAGCGTACTAGCAATAGCAAAACCTCTGCATTTTGGTTGTTCCTTTGGCCCCCTTGAAGGGGGGGGGTTGGTTTGTTTTGGGCTGTGCCCCTTTCTGTGATGCCATCGGGCAATCTCCGTGAAAGTGATAAGGCAGTGGCACCGACACCCCCTAGCATACGGGAGAAATGCAGATCAGAAAGAAAATGCAGTGGATGGACGAACCCTGCACCACTTTGAAGCCAAGTGAAGCCATTGTTGTTGGTACTGACAGGGTTTCTTATGCAGTGCAGGATTTCGTCCGTCCACAGTGTCTTGCCCCCATATGCTACCCCATGTCTGCTCGCTTGACTTGCAAAGATGCGGTAGCTGCGCGCTAAAAAAGATTGCAAGGGGTTTGCCAGATGAACCGTTTTAGTTTCCTGCCATTGTTTTTTGTGGGTGTTGTCCCGTACTGCTTGTTTGGTATTTGCAGGGGAATCATCAGAAACTATTAAAAGAGGGGACCCCTGGAAATAGTACTCTATTGGCCCCCAATAGGCCCTATTAGTCGCAACAGGCTCCTATTGGCATTGGCACTTGGCAACCATAGGAAACCAGTGCCAAAAGAGTATATACCAAAAAAGAACCTACAGGGGGAAGAACAGGAGACATCCACAAGACACGCAAATCCAAAACCCGTTTTCCAAACCCGGGGTTTCTGACCAATTCTTGCGAGCAGCGGGTTGCGCGACGGGCAACACCGTCCCTTCGCAGCGGGGGAGCGAGGCGTGGTCCATTTGCTCCACGCGCTGCGGGGAAGGCACCCAGTGGCGGGCGCGGCGGATCCATCAGGTGGCCGAGGATCGGGGTGAAATCCAGCGGCTCCAAAATCCCCAGCCAAAACCCAAATTTCTCCCCAACCAAAAACAAACAAACCAAAAGCAAGAACACAAAAGCTACCTCTGGCATATTTCATAGGGTTTTCACTTCGGGAACCCCCCCCCTAAGAAGTAAGAGTAATTCAGCTTTGAAACAAAGGGTTTAAGCAACCATATTGTCCCTTCATATGGGGCCTTCTTAAAGTAGATTGACATAAGAAATCAAAGGGCGGTCGCAACTCAACAAAAGGTGGTTAACTCCCTGTTTTGACAGTCCACACAGTGGTTTCAGCATGTTTCCAGCACTGGCGTAAACCACGGTTTAAGGGGCATCAAAAGTTGGAGGTTGTAACTACCCTCCTTCCCGTCTACCATGGAATTTGATTGAGGGGTTTTGCAAGACGATGTTTCTATCGGGAGCCTTTTCTGGGTTCTAGGGCAATGTGGCTCGTAAATCAGCCATCAACCATCAACCAGCCATCAACCAGCCAGCCAACCAAACCACCACCCAACCGCCCACCCACCCACTCACCCACCCATGAGCCGGCTCCTTGGACACCCCTGTGGCGGCGGTTCCAACACATCAGCTCGCAGCGAGGACGGTGGCCGGCAGTGCCACGGCCACATCGAGGAGTCCCAGGCGTGCCAGTCCTGGCACGACGACTGCGACAACCACGTGAAACGGGACCGGCGGGTGTTTGGGGGGTGCCAGCGGAAAGTTGCTTTAAAGGGACGCCACATGGAGTGGAGGCGATGCCTTTGGCAACCACGACTTAAAAGCGGGGTTTGCCTCGGCGAATTTGAACCAAGCCTACATTTCCGGTTTGGTGGTTTGAAAGGTCACCTTCGAAGGGCAATTTAGGATGAGCCTGCCTTGGTGGAGGTGATGTGTCAAGGGGAAATGTAGGGATGTCCGGCCCCAAACTTTGAAACGGGGTTCCTTTCAACTCAGCAATCTGTTTGCTTTCTCTTTTTTTTGGTGGGTGGGTGGGTTGAAGCTCAAGTAACAAGCAGGAGCGGTCCGTTGTTCCTTTTCTATAATAATAATAATAAAGCAAAAAACATGGCCCGTCATGGCAATTCAGAGGACTGCGAGCTGGGCGACTGGAAGGTGTGGAGTTCTTGCGACTACTCCTCCCAGCGGGAGCGCACCCGGGAGATTCTGATCACCGCGCAAGCCGGGGGACTGCCCTGCCACGGCGCCCTGCTGCAGACCGAGAGCTGCCATGAGGCAAGCCAGGGAAAGAATCGGAATTTGGTCGCAGAAAGGTTGCGTTTTTTGTTTTTGTTTTGTGTGTGTGTGTGTCTTTTTTTCTGGGGTGAAATAATTTTCCCTGTGTTAAAACATGGGCGCCGTGGAACATGTCGCAAAGAGGGATGCTTCAGCCCTATGATCCCAAAAAACCCATTGACCAGTTTAAACATCACTTTTTGAACAAAAAATAGCCGAGCTTCCAATTGGTGGGATGATGTTTGAGGGGCAACTGCAGGGAGCCCTGCTTTTAATTTTCCAGGATGCCAAAATACAAGGCTGCGTCTTTGAGAACCCCCCCCTCGTTTCTTGCTGCATGGGAGGCCATCCGCAAGCCCCAACGTGGGTTCAGGGGTTCAGGAGCCAATCAACCTTGGTCAAAGAAACAGGAACATCTCATCATCGTTTTTTAATCACTATCATTAACACTATCATTGTCATGTTCATTTTCTTTGTTATTGCCGCAGGCTCGCCATTTCGGGTGTTTCTCAAAATGACGGGCTCTCTTTTCGGATTTGACGGGACACCACCAGACGCAGCCAGGTGGTGGACTGCGTGGTGACCGAGTGGACGGAGTGGGACAGCTGCTCCCGCACCTGTGGCAGCGGGCACGCGCGCCGCCAGCGCCAGATCTCGAGGTTCCCCTCCGTGGGCGGCGAGTTGTGCCCGGAAGACTTGCTGCAGATCAAGAGTTGCGTGTTGGACCCCTGCGCGTCCCAGGACGCTTTGGCTTTGGGGAAGGGGGGGTTGTGGTTTGGGGATCTTTGGGCGCTGTATGGGGGCTGGGGGTGCGGGGTTGGATGCTTTGTTTTGATGTCGTAAGGGTCCAGCTCAACTGAGAAATGCCATGACCCCCTGCAGTTGCAGTTTCAGCAATGTTTGTTAAACATGTTCACCTGGATGTCATCTTCCTGGCAGTTGGCAGGCGATGCTGGCTGGGAGTTTTCCCTGGCAGCTTGGGGTGGGGGGGGGGGGTTGCCCAACCCTGAAACATGGCGCAATACATGCGCCAGATGCTGGTTCTCAGTAAGGGGTCACAGGCTTTGAGGCAAGCCAGAGGGGATGGCTTGGGGTTCCGTTTCATTCCCTGAGAGCCAGTGTTTTTTTTTTTGGGTGTGTGGGGGGATACACATACATACATATATATATGAGTATATATATACATATTATATAAACATTTATACGAATATAAATATATATATATATATGTGTGTGTGTGTGTGTGTGTGTGTGTGTGTGTGTGTGTGTGTGTGTGTGTGTGTGTGTGTGTGTGTGTGTGTGTGTGTGTGTATTTGGGCGGCTCCACCAGGACTGCCAGGTCTCCGATTGGCTGGAGTGGGGCACCTGCTCGGCCACTTGCGGTGGCGGGCACCAGAGTCGGGTGCGCACGGTGCTGAGCCTGCGGGGCCCGGGGGGCATGGGATGCTTCTGGCCTCGCAGTTGGCAGCGCCTTTTTTCTTTTTGTTTTATCCCTCTTTTTTTTGTTCCGAGTGTTTTCTGTTTTTGTTTTTTGGTTGTTGTTTGTTTTCCCCGATTTCTTCTTCTTCTTCTTCTTCTTCTTATGTTTTTCCTCTCTTGCTGGTGCGAGAGATGCAGGGAGTGAGACATGGACAATCACCAAGAGAAAACCGCAGCATCTTCTTGCTTGCTTGCTTGTGTTTGTTTGTTTGTTTGTTTGTTTGTTTGTTTGGCTGGTGTGGTAGGTAGAGAATGAGACATGGAACGACCCCAAGGAAAAAACAATCCAGCCCACAAGTGGGTTCCTTTAAGGGGATCAAAGCCTGGGTTCATTCCCTGCTGAGCACCTGCGAGTGTTGCTTTCTTTTTCGCCTTTGCTCAGTAGGTACGGAATGACCGGACTCGTTGGGTGAACCGGTTTTGGGGATTCCTGAATAAAGGAAGCCATAGGGTGGATGGTTTGTCGGGGTCATTCCGTTTCTCATTCCCTGCTGAGCAGCAGCAAATTTTGTTTGGCTGTGGCTCAGAAAATGGTACCAACATGGCACCTTGGCAAATGAAACCAAAGATGAAAACACCCGCGTAAGCCTAGATCTTTCATCTGGAGCCCACCCCCCCCTTGCGTTGCCTTGGGCTTTGTAGGCCTGAATTGATCAGTTACCACTCAATTGGTGATTTGGATTGGTGGTTTGGGGGTTTGATCGTCAATTCCTTTTGAAGCCAAGGTACCCCCCAACGACCAAACCACCACAAATTAGGGGTAAGGCGAATTCTAAACCATTTGGTAGTGAGTTTTTCCATGGGGAACCGGTTCCTCAAAAGCAGTGGGTGGGCATAATCCCAACCACAATGATGCCCAGTAAAGGGTTCCAAATTCAACATGAAATGTGGCCCATGTAAATGTCCATTTGATTGATATCCCCCAAATTTTGGAAGGGTGCTCGAAAAGATTTACCCTCCCATCCGTGCACATGGCACTTGGCTGGGGGGTCCTGGTCTGCACCATTTTCCTTTAGAAAGGGCATCCTGGTGGGTTCCATGTTAGTGGACAGGTTGGTGAATCAGCTATCAACCATCAAACATAAACCATCAACCATTTAAACACCATTTTTGTTGAGCCGCCTCCGACGCCCCTGTGCCACCGGTTCCAGCGGATCCGCGCCGATGAGGACGGTGGATAAGGTCCAAATGTTGGGTTTAGTGCCCATCCACTGACGAACGGCAAAGAACACACGCTTTTCAAGCAAGCGTGGGCGATCCTGCCTGATTTAGGGTTGACTGACCGAGGCTTTTTCCCCCTGTCCGCCAACCGTGCGTGCCACGACCAGAGCTGTGAGGAGGTCTGCCGCTGGGGCGGCTGGCAGGAGCGGGGTACGCGAAATTCGTCAGATTTGCGACCAAGTCCCTGGACTTTTCGTCAGGGACGCCCAAAGGGGATGGGTTAAAGAACAGGCTGTTGCTATATGAAGTGGGACCTTTTGGATGCAACGGCAGAGAGAGAGAGAGAGTGGTATGGATACCCTAGGACTCTTCTGTGGAAACCGAAAGGACGTTGTTCAAACAGTTGGGTGGCCTAATAAGCCTTGGTTTCAGAACAAAGTCAACCAACCCCTTTTGAGCAAACAAGCGCCAACAACAGGCGTCCCTGTGGAAAGTAGAGCATTGTGCAAAACCAGCCCTCTGGCTGCAACATGATGTAAAGAACCAAGAGGAACACCAAGGTAGGGCAGGTTCAAGCGACCGGCGCAAAAGGAGGTTGTACAAACAAAAGAAGGCATGACAATCATGGGCGCCCCTCATGACTTCAGTTGGGGTTAGCCCCCAGAGCCAAAAAAGGATGAAAGGGAACCAGGAAACCCACCGGTTTGTCCCCCCCCCCCTCTCCCATCCAAGATTCCCACCCTCTTGAAGCATAGCCCTCGGCAACCGCCAGCTATCTAAGTGTGGAAGTACATACCCCTTGTTCATGCCCCTTGGCTTCCGTGGTTTCCAACCCACTTTATAAGGGGTATATACCCCTTTTGGGGAGTGGGGTATGAACATCAGCAGGCCTTTTGGGTTTATTTGGCTGTGGCCGCAGATTTTAATGCATATTTCCATTTACCAGGGTTGAACTTTGGGTAGCCATTTCTGACCTGCAGCCATTTGTCCAGACCTTGGCACCCCTGGATAGCCCGCCGCCCGCAGGAGTGGTCGGAGTGCTCCAAGTCCTGCGGCGGGGGCTACATGACGCGCACCCGGAGCCTGGACTCCATCCCCAGCGGCGGCAGCGATGCGCCTCGGATCGGGCTTGGGGCCGGGGAACTGGGGCTGCCACCCCCCCCGTCTCCCGAAAAAAAGGAAAAGGAACCAAAAAAAACAGAAAAAGGGAAAAACAAAAAGTAAAAGAAACAAGGGATACAGTTGGGTTTGTCTCGACACCGATGGTGTCAGCTTGTTTGCCACAAGGCAGCCAACCAAAAAGGGGTTCCAAACAAAAAGGACGTACCCGGAGCCCAGTTGCACTGCCTTGACATCACTATTTAGAGGGGAGAATTGAGGCTGTCACGTTGATGGACTCAGTCAAAGCTACGCCATGCGCGAATGGTAGTTGCGCTGTCGGTTGCGAATCAGCATTAGGGCCCCCCAGCTAGAGCAACCCAGCGTATTTTGCAGGGAGGAACATGATCGCCCATATGAGCAATGGACAAGATCACAGCCAGTTTGCTTTTGCTTTGGGAGGACATGCGCGGACCACCCAACTGTCCACTTGCAACATTCAGGAGGATCGCCCTGTTGAAACGCTAGTGCTACTTTTTCCATTGTACCTATGTGCGCTTTTTCGGGAAAGGGGATCCCCCAAAACTCCCCGCTTCCTAGTCTTAAAGCCGCGCAAATTTGGTCCCTTTTTTGAAGTAACCCTGGTACACTCAGGGTGCTGCTTGAATTCGATGCTGCATTTGTGGACCCACTCCTTCGCATCAAACGAGCACAACAGGAACAGGGGGCAGTCTGGGGGGCACAAATCAAGGCCAAGAACCTCCCAAGCCTTTGGCCCAGAGCACACAAGGTAGCAACAACGGAAAAAAGACGACACCTCCGAAGCGGATTGAACCTCCGGGGGGTTCCCCACCAGGTTTCCCCCTTGAGTCGTGTGTGAGGTCTGTGAGGAGAGGCCCATGGCGGAGGTGGCGCCCTGCGCGGTGGACCACTGCGCCGCTTTGTGCGTGGACGGCGCCTGGGGCGCCTGGGAGCCCTGGTCCGTGTGCAGCTCCTCCTGCGACGGCGGGGAGATGCGCCTCGGAAAAGTGCAGCCTATGAATGAGGTGGCCATGCTGTGTATATATGTATATGTACATCTTTACATAGATATAGATTTAAGAGTTTTCGTCCAGCCAACCGTTGAGGGAGGTTAAACTATTTTTTTTAGTGATTTGGGAGTGAGGGTTGGAGCAAGAAAATATCAATCTGAAAATTAAGAGCAAGCTGAAAAGCAATAAAAAAGTGATCCACTTGCAACAGTTGACACAAAAAAGCAAGAACATAGTGATCAGATGGTCATCAAATAGTAATTTGGGCACCTCAAAATAGCGAGGATCCAAATAGTGATTATATGGGAGATCACTATTTTCTTGCTTTTTGTGGCAGGCGTCGAAACCCGGAAATCTGCAAATCACAACGGGAGATCACTATTTTCTTGCTTTTTTGGAGTGGAAAATCATAATTTTCTTGCTTTTTTTGGAGGCGACGACCCTCGGAACCCGGAAATCTGCAAATCACAACGGGAGATCACTATTTTCTTGCTTTCCTTAGCAGGCGACAAACCCGGAAATCTGCAAATCACAACGGGAGATCACTATTTTCTTGCTTTTTTGGAGTGGAAAATCAACATTTTCTTGCTTTTTTTGGAGGCGACGACCCTCGAAACCCGGAAATCTGCAAATCACAAAGGGAGATCATTATTTTCTTGCTTTTTTGGAGTGGGAAATCACTATTTTCTTGCGTTTTTTGGAGGCGACGACCCTCGAAACCTGGAAATCTGCAAATCACAACGGGAAATCGCTATTTTCTTGCTTTTTTTGGAGGCGACGGTCGCCTGCGAAAAAAAGCAAGAAAATTGTGATCTCCCATTCAAGAAAACCAAGAAAATAGTGATCTCCCATTTGCAGATTTCCGGTTTTCGAGGGTCGTTGCCTGCCAAAAAAGCAAGAAAATAGTGATTTCCCACTCCAAAAAAGCAAGAAAATAGTGATCTGCGGGTTTCGAGGGTCGTCGCCTCCAAAAAAAGCAAGAAAATAATGAATTTCTATTCCAAAAAAGCAAGAACATAGTGATCTCCCGTTGTGATTTGCAGATTTGCGGGTTTTGAGGGTCGTCGCCTGGAAAAAAGCAAGAAACTAGTGATCTCCCACTCTAAAAAAGCAAGAAATTAGTGATCTCCCGCTGTGATTTGCAGATTTCCTGGTTTCGAGGGTTTATCACAATTTTCTTGCTTTTTGTTTCACAATTTTCTTGCTATTTTCTTGCTATTTCTGGTCTCTTGTTTGCTTCATTCTTGTTTTTTTAGTGCCCACTGTTTGCTCTAAAATCATGTTTTTCTTTCTTTTTTTCCCACCCGAAACTTGGGATCACTATTTTCTTGCTCTGTTGCTTGCTCTACATCTCACAAAAATAAAATAAAATCGCATTTTCCAATGGTTGGCTGGTTTCGCAAGTCTTAAATATAGGTATGTATAGATAGAACAAGTAAATAATTTACACACACACATATATATAATATTTGTGTATAATATCTAATGTGTGAATATAGAGAAATACGCATATGAGTGTATAAGGGGTAATTGGCAAGGGTAACAATTCTCAGGGCTCGGTGTGTGCGCGAAGATGTTCCATGCTGGTGTTCGACTCTTACCTCTGCAAAGGCTGCAAAGGTGTGGAACGAGCTTCCGTTCTTGCTTCACTTTTTGGCTGGTGGGCAAACTGCCACATTTCTGCCCGGATTGAGCCTTTCCCGAGGTCCCCTCTTCAGGCGATTTTAGGCCTTTGAGATAGCCCCAGTTTGAAGGCCCGCGTCAGGAGCCTTTCAGTAGAGTGACTTCTGATGAGAGGGCAACAAGGGCCTAGGGCACCAGGTGTTCTTTGGGCAGAACCACTAAACATCCTTTT